TGGCGCATCAACGATCCGGTTCCCAAAAGTCGGCCACCATTTTCGGTTCGGAGTTGCAAAAGAGAAAAAAAAATTTGTTGACGGGGATCAATTGCTTTTGTTTGGGAATGTACATCCAACCAAAGGCACCTCTTGGCCAAAGACTTCGTAATTTTCAAAGAAGCAAAAAGTTGGCCCGTGGAACCCGGGGGGTGCGTCCGTCTTCCCCATGTTACCCAGCTTGGTGGAAACAAGTCACTTCCTGTAGGATGTCAGGGGGGTACCTGGTGCTTGGAACCCAGTTTAAGCTTCAGGAAGCAAGAAGGGGGGTTGATATTGATGATTGCCTATCTGCCTCCCGGGCGCAATGGGGGCTTGCAAGAGAACGAAATACGAATCAATATTTCACGCCTCATTTGTGAACACTTATACTAGGAGTACCGAGCTGACAATGCTCCTGTTGGAGGGTGCCGAAGAGGTGGATTTTCCAACAGAGTTTGTGAACCCCCACGCGCTGGACCTGCAGGGTCTATCACAATTATGTGTCTGGTGAACTCGAGTTTCCTTTCTCACCTCGTCCGGTGAAGCAGGAACACAAATAATAGTCAAGGGGGGAACCACGACAAGAAGCTTCCCTTGGAAATATTGCCGCCGATGCCCTTACGAAGTAGTGTAAACTAGGAAACCAAGCAATGCTCACGCAATCTAGACTGAGACCCGGTGAAGTACACACCCCCCTTGTTCTCCGCATGCGGTGGGGACCTTGGGGCATGGAAAGGGGGAAGATTTTCAGAACCCGAGGGCCAAAAGCAATGGGCAAGGCATCGGGGACAGTGACCCGGCATTCCGTCTCAGACCACTGGGCGCCCCCCAAAGCAGATTCCGGGGTTCACCTCGGAGCGAGATCAGTACAGTACCTCAGCCTATGTTTGTGGCAAGGAGTAAAACTTCTGTGGACGGCTGACCAGTGCTAACATTAATAATATTTGAATATTGTTTTTTTTTCTCCTTGCCGAAGAGGAGGAGGTACGTGTTTGTACGCACGGCACCGGCATTCGATCCCTTGGTGCAATTCCCGACAAAGAGAGAGCACCGGCAGAGAATTTGATGAGAGAGTCGTAGTGTCAAAGAGCCTGGGGCCCGAAAATCGGCTCAGAGTGAGGTACGAGGTTAAAGATCACTTTTAGGGTAAACTGCGCACCGAGGTCCATTTGACGGAAGATAGAATAGCCAGCGTACGCCATAGCGTACAAAGCACTCGATCTTAGCGCCGACAGAGCGCTTCGTTGAGATCAATTTTCAGTAGTGTCCGTCTTCGAGTATGGGGTACACTAGTGCAATGGCGTTATCAGTGTGGTTACAGGAAATGGCTGGCTGGCAGTTGTTGTTTCTGACTCCCCGTCCCGGAGTCGTCGCTGGCATAGCCTGACTCCCCACTGGTGGGGATTCAGTTCGGGAACTGATGCCATTTTCTTCCGAACCTTGTCCATCCATATGAGCGCATTCGAGTGAGAATTTCGTCAGAAGCGAGAACAAGAATCTGAGGATCCTGTTTGCGTAGGAAGGTTCAGGGCCCTCCACTCAGAACAGCCGCCGTCGTTGATCAAGCAAATCTAATGATCCGAGACGACCGTGCTCATTTGGTACTCGCTGAAACTCAGACACTTTGGAACAAAGTACACTGTCAGCAAAACCTGGCTGGTTGGGTACTTGGCATCACCTGATGACCAGACGGATTAAGGTCGTTTGTCTAATAAGATTCAATATTGTTGTTTTCATTGTGCCATTGATCCTATCAGCGAGGACTCCGAACCCCAGCTGGAGGGGAAAGGTTCGCCACCCCCCACACCTTATCGGGATCCTGTTCCAGGCACGGGGCAAAGTCTCAATGTTCCCTCACGACGGCATTTCGTCTTGCTTAAGGGATACGTACCCATCTCTCCAAGTGCTGGCTCTTTCGTCCGCACGTTGAAGCATGTGGCGCCCTCCTACGAAGCGCTGCCACAGCAAACCTCCTGGGGTGGGTGGGAATTGGGCACGCGTGGTTCCGTCCCGTGGGGTCTCTCCTGGAAGCATGAAGCTCTCCCCTGACACAAGGGAACCCCCACGACGGAGATCAAAGCATCACGACGAGCTGTATATGCAAATTGTCCACCACAGAGGGAAGGGAGAGCACCTGCAAGTAAAAGTCGTGAGCGAATTTCATTCTCTCACTGGACCAGCTGGACCCTCTTCACTGCCTCCAGTTTCCCAGAAGTTCGGTAAGCACAAGTCAGCTCATGCCCCGATGCTTGGCAGATGCCACCCCACGAAATCGCAATAAGCTGCCACATTAGATACCGAACAAGATAAATCGCCCAGAATATTTTACCAGGGGTCCCCTATTCTTCATCGTTGGGCCTGTATCTTCGTCATCATAGGAGCATCTTATATTTTGTCAGGATTTTTTTTTTTTTTTCCTTTAAAATGAACATGCCGGAAAAGGAGGATGATTCTTTTTCGCCTGCTGTCCTTGAAGCCCGTACCATACGAGGCCCGATTAGCCCATTGGCTCTGTTCTCATCTCTCACTAGCTTAACGGAGCCTGTCTCCACTTGACGGCTTTCCTGCGACAGGGTACCTGCACATATCGTACATGGTGGATTGTACAAGGAGAATCAGATGTCAAATTTCGGTCCTCCTCAGCACGTGTGTCTTATTATGGGTCGGTGGCATCGTTGTGGTCGAGGACGATGACGCATAATCGAGCAGCGTGGGGAGGATTAATATACGAAGTACCTGTGTATGAGCATGTGCACTCTCAGGGTTCCCATGAAGTGTGCCATCCTCGATACCGAATCCCGAAGCTAGTCAGCCGTGAAGAATTATTGGGTTGATGCGAAGTGGACAGGGCCTTGCGATACCGCGGAGGAAGTACTGGTTTCCCTCGTGGTTTTATTCGCCTTTGTTTTTATCCCGTTATTTTGAGGGTTTATTAAGATTATTTTATTTTATTCTGTTTCCTTTTCCTCAGTGAGGATTATTACTGTGAGGAAAAAGAAATTTACCCTACACCTTGGCGCCGTGGGATATTTTTTGGTCTATCAATGCTTGGTACTCCACAAGCAGGTCAAAGTTGAATCGGATCAAGATTACGCAGGTTCCTCGAACTTCCATTGAACAGTAGATACTCGGTACGTCGTTCTTCTAAGCCACAATATCAAAGCTATTCTTTTTCTATCCACCCACATTTACTTGGCCTCTCCTGGCTTCGTCGTGTGCAGTCCGAGGGCGGCTCCTAGTGCTCACCGGGAATAAGTAACGGCCCCGGCTCTGCCTTGGGAATACCCGGTGCAGTCCAGAATTTGCCTATCAATATCCCAATCATTGTTAATTTGCATCGCTTATGACGCCAGACGGAGACGGTTAGGGCAACCATTCAACCCGTATCTTCAATAGTATATATTATATTCGGTGAGCGGGCTTCTAGATTGGAATCGGCGGGCCAAGACGTTACGCAAGAGCCTCTTACAGACCAGTGTACGAAGTATATTCCCCATCAAAAATCCTTCGTATTGCTCAATCGCAACAGGCAAAACCCACCAAGTTTTGGGCGGCTGTCCAATCATGACAAGAAACCGGAGCACACAGGTCGTAGAGAATGGGGTCCTTTTTCCGTTTCCTTTTTTTTTTTTTTCTGTTCTTCTTAGAGCATTTACAAAAGGTAATCTTTTTATTTTTATTTCTCTGCCCATTCTTTGAATTCTTTCCTGAGCACGAACCGCCGATTATGTCCCCGAATTACAACCAACAAGTGGCACGTTCAAGGTTGCTAGCCTGGGCCGTTTAGGCGTTATGTACTTTGTAAAGAGCACATTCGACCCATCCTCCCCAGCAATTGCGAGCGATAAGACATTCCGATCTCGTTCAGGCATTGTCCATTCATAGATAGCACAGTTAGGATTGACATTGCTTCGAGCGTCTGAGAGACAAGACCTGAAGGTAGAAAGTACTTAACACATGCTCTCTTATTAGCGTGCCATTGATGTCTCTGTACACCGCATCAATGTACTTAAAAACGCCAGCTGATGGCTCTCTTCCCCAAGCAGCAAGCAACCAGTACCAATCCAAATCATCTTCGCGCCTCCACACGCGTCGATGATGAAGGCTGCCCAAGGTATGTAGACAAGCTGGCACTCCCATACTTGGAATGAATTCATGCCATGCACAACGCACAACTACTCCGTACATGTCTTTCCTTTGCTTTTGGCGCTGGGGAGAAACAAGTTGCTATGTCTCTTTTCTGTTCCTCTCTTCAGGGGCAGCCAATCCAAAGGCCACAACCGGGTTTAGAAGAGGCATGGATTGATGAATCACAAGTTGTGAGACAAACTCTCCACCAACAACAGATTTGCCCCATGGGCCATACCCCAGAATTCCTGAGCAAGTTTGTTCGGCTCACTCAGCTCAGCACATGCCCAAGAAAGCTCTCCTGAGGAGAACACGGAGCAGAAAGCCCCCTTGTCATACACCCCCATATCTTGCTCATCACCCATCAGAGCCGTACCGTAGTGTAGGTTGTGTCATTGGTACCGTGCGCATCTGTCTGGGCCTCTGTGCGGGCTTGGGAGCAAGGGGTGGGTCTAACCTGTCGATTTGAGATGGGGGGCGTGTGCCGTATCGCAGCCTTTTCCGCTGCCCGTTCTCGCACCCCCTTCCCCCCCAAATCCGCCTTGACACCCGCTCTTCCACCCACACCCCCCAAGGCCCCCGTCTTCTCTCCAGGTACCTCTCCGACAGCAGTGGAGAGTAAAGCCGAAAGGGTACCCTTTTCGGTATCTCTCCCCCAGCAGAACTGAGCAAGCGAACCTTCCATTACTTGGCATTGTACGAGGGGGCTCCGGCGGTGATAATTGACAAGTGGCTGAAAGGGGGGCCATGCGAATATCGATCAGTACAGCGGGAGAGGGATTCTTAAAAAGAAGGGAAGAAAATTGTTCAATAATCCTATACTCCGGCCAATGTATTTTTACTCCATCAAGATGTCGACCGAGACCAAGGGAAGTCGAGGTCGGGGCTCCTCGGCTGAGTTTGGCCGAAGTCGTCAAGCACTGAAAGTACCCCCGTATTTTGTCTGCTCGAGGGCGGTCCCCGCTTTGGAAAATGGTACGTACCTACCACCTTAGCCAGGGCCCCCCATCTCCCCCCCTTCTCGCCGAGCCCCCGCCGTGCGATAAAAAGAAAAACGAAAAAAAGAAAAAAAAAAAAAAAAAAGGAGAAAAAGGAAGGAAAAAAAAAAATATTTAGCCACACCCCGACAAGCTCTCTCCCACCCTCCACACCCCACCCCACACACCCCACCCCCCCCAACGTTTCTCCCCCTTCACCCTCCTTAGAAAATTCCTTTCATAAAAGCCAGCCCACTGCCCCGTTCCCTCCAGCGATGAGACTCTCTTCCCTCTGACATCTTAAGATTCAGAACACTCAACCGCATAAGTGAGAGTATATAATAGCTCTCCAGCCTTCTCGTCGTTCGGTCTCGACCAGCTTAACATCCAACAACAACAGCTTACCGGCTTAGCTGTCCTACAACCCAACCAATACGCCATAGCTTCTTGGTCTCTCCGTCGACGTCACTAACACCTGCACATCACCTTCAGAACCCACCAGTCTTTCCAACCTTTCGCGCTCGGCCATAGTAGTAGTTACGATGGCCTCTTCAACGAATCTTAAGCCCAACGGGCCTGTCCCGAACGGTCGTCAGACCTCCGATGCCCCTACCGAGCTGCCCCGACCTTACAAGTGCACGATGTGCGACAAGGCCTTCCATCGGTTAGAGCATCAGACTAGGCACATCCGAACCCACACTGGCGAGAAGCCCCATGCCTGCCAGTTCCCCGGATGCAGCAAGAAATTCTCCCGCTCCGATGAGTTGACTCGTCACTCGAGAATACACAACAATGCCAACTCGAAGCGAGGTAACCGGGCCCACCAGCAACTCCAGGCCGACAGCATGCTTCCTCCCCCTCCGCCTGCTCCCAGAGCTATCCGCTCCGCTCCCACTTCGACATTGGCCTCGCCAAACGTGTCTCCCCCTCAGTCGTACTCGTCTTACTCCGTTCCCGCCTCTCACGCTTATCCCGGCGATGTCGCCTTGTTCGCCAGAGACACGCTTGCTCCTCACATGTACCGAACTCAGCACTACCCCAGCCGGGGCTTGCCTACATACCCCAATGCCCACCCTACCAGGACGTTTGGCGACTACGACCCGTTCGACAGCCACTACAGAAACCCGCGTCAGGCGAAGAGGTCTCGACCCAACTCTCCTATGTCGACCGCGCCTTCCTCGCCAACCTTCTCCCACGACTCGTTGTCGCCTACTCCTGACCACACTCCCATCGCGACCCCGGCTCACTCCCCTAGGCTACGGCCCTACATCAATGCCGCTCTGGACCTGCCTCCCATCACAACCCTGCGAAACCTTTCTCTCCACCCTCAGCAGAAGGCACCAATCCTCCCTCCCATGGAGCCCCAGGTAGAAGCCCCAGCTCAACCAGTGGTGCCCGCGCTGAAGGGTACCAGGAGTGCTGGCATCTCCCTAGCGGACATTATCAACAGACCGGATTTCCCTAGACAATTGCCAATGCCTTGATGCTAGGCAATCCGGGAAATCTGTGTGTGTTCATTTTCACCCTTTCATATATACTCGCACCAATTTCACCAACAACTCTCCTCACACCTTATAACTACATCAAAAAACAACCACAACCAAGAATAAATACCCCCTCAAAAAAGACCAAAAAAAGATGACGACATGACGAACCCTGGATATAGACGGATAGAGGGAATCGGCGTTTTTTTTTTTTTTTCGAGGACCACGATTTTGCGAGACAGTCGAGGCCTTTTTAAAGTTTCTTTGACTATTTAATTGACGGTTCCATGGAGGGCCAGGTTTTCTTTCTATTCCTTGACTTCTCTCTCGCGTCCTGCTTGATTTATGACTTGGAGAAGACCAACCTGGCAAACAATAGCCAGGTGAAGCTTTGGCCTGTTTCAACAATCAGAAAAAGCGACATGGGCAAGGGACTGAGTACTAAAAAAGTTACTGTTCACTTTTTATTTTCATTTGTTGAACGATTATTTTTCCCCCATCGGGGTACGGAAGGGACTGTACGAGGGAATCATCAAGAGATGGATTAAGGCTTTATTTTAGAAAAGGGGAACTCGAGAGACGAGCTGGCCTAACCGGCTTCCGAGTCATACTGGGAATTATGTGGCATATTCGGGATTCATTTCCTATGTTAGCGGCTTGCAGAAAATTCCAACACTTTTGATCTACTTTTTATCTCTGCAACTCTGAGCCTTCGTGAAGTACTTGGCCTTGACGTAAACATCGTAAATAGCGAGGTGCTATTTTACAACTTACAACTTACAACTTTACATTGTCAACTGATGCGCAAAAGGAACACGTTTGTGTGCAGTGGCTTAGCCCTCGTGAAACCATTGTCCGGCGCTGATGCTCTCTCCCTGTTTCTTCATAACCTAACCCCGACCCCATCTTAAAGCTTTTATCTTATTCCCCCACGGGGAATGCGAATCCTTCTTATTGCCCCTGAAGGGTAAAATCCGGGGAGGCGGTAATATACACTGCACCGCGCCGTCTGGGTGAGGGAAGGGGGGGGGGTGAGAGAGGCCGGGGAAAGTCAAAACGAGAAAGTTAAGGGAATTGGGGGCTGAGAAGGAAAAGGGAGGGGAGGATTCCGCGAGAGCTGGGCCGCAAGGGATGACCGATTTGAGTTTGCGGTAAAGAAGGGGGAGTATTATTATTAGCAACTAAAAAGAAAACAAAAAAAGTTGTGAGATTGAGGCGTGTATTGCGTTACGCCGAGCAAGGGAGACACCAGGACAAGAGAAAGTGGGCTGGTCTACTATAGGTGATAATACGTTGATAGCGAGAGAGTGTGTGCGATTACGTGTAAGTTGGGTTGGCGTGGAATGGGGGTATGAGCACGTCAGTTGGTTGAAGGAGGAAGGTAACTTTTTGGCGAGCATTATCTGTTTGGTGTTACTTCCCCGGCGCCGCCTTGGAGAAAGGTAGGGAATACGGAAATGGAGCCATGTTCCTACCCAGCATGATAGTGTGGTGGTGTACTTGCGTATACAAGATGGACCTCCTTCGTATCTGGGGATGGAAGCTTCGGAACATGACTGGACGACGGCGTTTCGTACTCAACGAATGTAGGGCTCATATCTTCTGTCAGCTTCCCCAGACCTTCCGGGATGCCCGTGAGCTGGGCTGTGCACAACAGTCAGGTACATGGGCAGAGCTGGTTTATTTCTGGGACGTTTTTTTCTTCTTTCTTGTTTCTGCGTCATACTCTAGGCTTTCTTCAATGTGCAATGTGTGACGGGGAATGCCAAAGCCTAGAAGTTGGGGTTACCTTTGCTGTACAGCCCTCTTTTGTCAGCGAAGCTTGTACAGCGGTCAAGTCCGAAATAACAACACGTTCCTGCTGGTTGACACTCCGGAAGTAAAAGTTTCATCCGCAAGATTCTTTTCCCATTTCTCGTACTAGATATGATATTCCCCCCCTCTCTTATGCAACAAGTTGAGGGAGTTTCGGTAGTATGTATTACGTGTGAGTGATGCGAGGCTTCCGAGTGTTTGCTTTTTCCGTGGCTTAATGCTAGTTGCAGTTCTCTCATCTTTTTCTCTCTCATATTAGTTCGTAGTTGATTTGGAAACTATACTAGCATTAGCATTGAATCCTTGGCTTGGCGCCGGTTTGCACTTTCTCGACCCTCGAGACAGAAGATATCCCAAAAGGAAGGTCAGGGTGTTCGAGGGAACAACCCCCGAAACCAAGCCTGTCCTAGTCTGTTTTGCCCGCAGAGCATTTGCAGATCCTCAGCTAATATGAGGGGGTTTCCCTTCCATCTTAGCCCTGCTCTTCGGAGAGAAGGATAAGCGTATCGGGAAGATGGGAAGATTGCGGAGATGATGCCCAGTCTTATTAGTCTAAGATCAAAACAAAACAAAAAGCTTGGGCAGAAAAAGAGTTGGAGAATTCTGGGGAATTCTGGAGAAGGGGGCACCTGGGGCGTTTCGTAAATTCGGGTTTGTACGCATTATGTTATGCCACATGTAAAAATCTGTAAAAATCTCTTAAGAACGTACAAACTATCAAGGTTCGACCTGGTGTGGAGTTTCATTGCATTAAGAAGAGAGAATCTTTACTCGGCCGAAGATAAAGATGCGAACGTCGAATTGAAGCTTTCGCTTGCAACGTGATGGGGCTTTTTGTGGGGGGCGGGGCAAGACAATGGCAACGCAGCGGAACAATTACAATTTGAGAAAATCCAATTTCTCTGTCGTCATAGTTTACTTTCCCCGCCATTTTTAATGTTCCGGAACGAAAAATACAACGGAGAGTGCAGGAAGACACTAAGAAAGACTAAGGGAAAATCCGGGGCTAAGTACCTAAACTGCGATGAGGCGAGGGGGGGTTCTTGACAGAACACGAGAGAGTTATGTGTGGCTGGCATGAATCAGGAAGGAGAACTAGTGGAAAGAAAATAACGACTTGTCCGCCTCGACGAAGAAGAAATTGGGTAATGATTTGGGATGGGGCGTGGACGTATTGCATTTGCAAGTCTTGAGAGAGAAAAGAGAAAAGATCAAGTCTGATTTTGGATCAACTCCCCCAAAAGCCCAAGCGGCTAAGGCATCATCTCTTATGCCGCGCCCTCCCTTAGCATGCCTCTTCGAGGTTCTATGAAATACGTAATATGATGCAGAAATTCGAAGGAATAGTCGCGAGCTACTGCGTAAGAGGAAGTCCCTCTGCTTTCCGTGAGGACCAGAGATGGAAGATGGGAAATTACTTACACAACCGAGTCATGTATGCCCCTCAGTCACCACACCATCTCTTTCTTCACCGCTAGACCTTTGCGACAAATAGGGCGTCTTCTTTTTTCCAAATCTTCACGTGTAGCGCAGGGAGGCCAAGATGAATCTCGTCGTCGTGTTAATAGACACCTGTGCGAGTCGCCCAGTGGTGGTGGGGTGCGCAGCAAAGCTACCCTCCCCGGAACGTTGAGGAGGAGGAGGGGCAAAACGAGGGGCACGATAATCTCCTTCGACCTCAGCCCTCTCTCTCTCTTTCTCGACCATCCAGGTTAGGCTAGGATCCTGCGATAAGCGACGGGCCAAGCCAAGAGTGTGGGGGATTGCTTAGCCATCTGGGGAGGCCCGGCGTCAAGGTCCAGGCCTTGCCTTTTCCCGTGAAAGCGCATGTTGGGCATAAAAGTAAAATGCATGAGCTATTGCACCGAAACCCAAGATATGCGAACGGGTAAGAGTCATCGATCAGTCGTCTAGTCCATCCCACCACGCACGCCCTTATACAGCTGATCACATATGCTACTAATATGTCACACATCTTACGCCAGGCAGGCAGGGTGCTTCGTCGGTGTCTAAACTTGTCTCTTTTCAGCACACCAAGGCTTATCAGACACCGCGTTGGTCGAGTGTGGCACACCCCTTGTCATCTACCCCATGTCAGTGATAGTGACCCAGCGCTCCGAAACCGAGAATGAGCAGAATATAGCCGGATAACCCTTTCCAACTCCTTTTTTCTTTACTTTTTTCCTCCCCTTCTGTCATGGGCTGGACCCCTGAGAGGATGCGATTTGTGGGGGTTTTCAGCCGGCGAGGATCGCAAGAACCGTGTGGCTAGGTCCTGGCTCATCATTGGGCTTCGGAGCCAAGAAAAGAGCTGCGCAATGTAGTATTAAGGGCAATCTGTGATAGCCGTCACGTACTTGTAGACTCTTGAAACGCGCAACAAAAGGCGGTCGCTATGCAAAAATGTACGAAGTACTGTGCAGGCGAATAGGCATAAAACTGGGGCATTCAACGTCTCCCCCAGAAAGCTGGTGTCCGCTCGTGATGCTTCAAGCGATTGGGCGATCTTGCAGATTGACACCTCCCTTCTTCTGCCAGCGGCTAGGAGGTGCTTCCAACTGATTCGCCGTCGGGCGCATCTCTGATATAGCAAGGGCGCCTCTCAGCTGTCGCCTTTGGGCACGCGTCAAGCGGAGCGGAGAGCCAAGGAAATGGCGAAACCTGGCATGGCCATTTTCTTGGGCGGTCGAAATGGGTCACCGCCAACAACAAAGATGTTTGGCTTTTTCTACCTCACGCCTTCAGAACCATGATTATCGTAATTCCTTCACCCCACCCCCGCTCCGAAGATTATTCTTATCCATTTTGCGATGCCAATCGTTGTCCGCCTCGCGACTCGGCGTTAGCAAGGCGTCACGAGATATTAATAATACCGCTTCCCCCTTTTAGGTCTAGATTCCTTTTTCTCCCTTTGCGCTGACGGCCGGATCCTGGGGTCCCCAAAGATCGAGCAAGTGCCGCCATCGGATTCGCGCAAAATGTGGGGGTGAACGAGATCGTCCCAAAGTTTTTCCGCCTTCTCCTCCCGAAAGGGGCAAAGCCGTCTGAGACAACTGAAAAGTGGGGAACAGGGGTGCGCTTAAGCACAATTGTAGAATGGGGGTCTTTACCTCGTCGGGAAGGACAGGAGTGATAGGAGTGATAAGACTGAAATTTGGTTCTTTTGATGTGGACTCTAGTTTCCT